GAAAGACTAAAGGTTTGGCACGTCAAATATACGGTGTGAAATAGAAACAGAAATCTACGGCGTGGCTTATGAGCCCGAACCTAAACAGTCCCGAGTCCGCCAATTCTAATTTGATTTTACTCAAACCTGAGGGAGTTATAGGTTAAATGCTCAAAGCATGTTTTCTCTGATTTTATTTGTTCAAGTAAATATGGAAGCGTCCAAATCGAATGCAGAGTCATTTATCTTCATTGCGTCATTCTGAGAAAACAGAGAAAATGGGGGGAACCCTCGCCCTGTGTTCGTAGTGGATAAACCCTTGGCCATTGTTTGACAGGCTTTCGATTTGGATGCTTCCATAGAGAAACCATGCTACTTTACTTTATGGTGATAGACAGTGGCAAGATATCCATATGTTGCGATCAAAAGGATAACAATATTCACTATGATTTGTAGACAGTAAGCATTAATAAGAGCATTTTGGTAATTCTAACTGTTGATCGTCATTTTTTGCCAATGCTTGCCTTACGCGGCCCCTCTTCTGCCGACTCAATATTGAATATAAATTAGATTATCAGGCATACTGTTATACAAACATTCTTGTGGATCCACAGACAGTTTTGCAAAAGAAAATTTGATGATTTATTTGTTTCATCCAGATTCATGAACGTTTGTTTTATTTTGTGTACCTAAACAACAAATGCAATGACACTGGCTTTACGTTGTTGAACAATAATTTTGGTAAAACCTCAGTGGATGTGCTCTGACAGTGTGATGTGTCTCTGTCCCAGTAGTGCACAGAGTTCAGCTACAATTGGCATCAACCACCCGGGATGTCGATAGACCTCCTTGATAGCTCTATATGATTTAAAATATGAAACCACATGTTCAACACGAATTGTGTGTGCACCACAACTTGGTCCGCATTATCCATGACCTGTCGAATTTGGTCAGCTCTAAATTTCGTCATGATTAGGTATCTGTTTGCATAGCCGTTGTCACTAAGCGGACAGACGTCATTCGGAAAAGGCAGTTGCAGTCCTGGTCCGATTCCTGGCATCAGCTTGTACTTGCTGGCATCATTGTGACCCAAAAATCCACTTTGTACAAATCGGAGGTTTCTCTCACTGTCAATTACAATCTAGAGAGACGGAAAGGCAAAGTAACAGTTTATGAAGGAAACAGATTGTACATGATTTACTTGAAAAGCACGATTTACCTGATAAATTTGAATACGACCAATTTGACAATTTTGTAATCAATTTTGATGAGACACTAATACATGTAAGAATTCTGGCCATGTTTTGCACCATTGTATGTAAGTGTTAAGCCCCTCAACAAATATGCATAATTACCAGCTTTAGTACAGCTCCATATAATGGAGCAAAATTGACGAAAATATAACAAAACCGTGTCTCTTGTTGGCTTTCTTAAAATATAACGAAATAAAGAGCGCCCCATCTCTTTGTGTCTGTCAACCCACTGGAAACAGCAGCAACTTAACCATCCCCATTTTCATTTGCTCCTCATTCATAAGCCCACAATTTGAACCAATTCAAACATCCTTTAATTAACAACAGGCCTAAAGGACCAAAATCGGGTAAAGAATGATGAAAGGTCTAGTGGAATTTTTACCTGTGTACTCATACAACGAAAGCGAGAGTATCCACTGTAGAATTCATGCTCGGCCTCCGATTGTGGTTGCAGAATTTCATGTAATATACCGTCTATTGCTCCTACTGCGTTAGAGAACATTGGCCAGTGGCCTCTGAGGGCCGCCCACTCTTTAACAGTTGGCAAGGTGATGCGTGCATGAAAATAATACCAAAGTAAAGGAATAAGGACATAACTCTCTCTTGAAATTGCAGCTTGCAAAATGTTGCATAGGGAAGCTGACACATCGTAAGTAGGGTACTGCCTTCACCAAATCATTGCAATAAGAACTCTGTTCCCAGATGAATGCCGATGGCGCCGTCCATGTCCTTGATTGGTAATCAGGTGGTCAATGTCAGTTACAATTTGCAGGAGCGACACAGGTGTTTCTCCTGACATTCTGAAGAATCTTGCAGGATCTGTCTCTAAGTCCAAAAATAAATCTTGTGGGTCGAGTTCCAAGTATCCGCCAACATTTGGAAAAAGAAGAGTGTACAATCTTGCAACTGGTAGAGGCAATCCGAAAATACAACTGCACAAAAAAAATTCAAAAAAAGCCACATAAAGTGTTCCAGGTTAAGTTGATATCCTCATCAGCAAAGTTGGGATGCATTGCAGAAACAGTTAACAATGTAAAAATTGGTAACAAACAATGGTAACAAACAAACACATAAGCTACTAACGGCTTCATTGCAAAAGACTCTTCACGTTGGGCTGTGTATCTTATTTAACGGTTATAGCAATTCCCATGAGGTACCAGTAGTTTATGCATAACAAATAGCATCACAAGAATGAAGTGAAGTAAATTTCATGGACAATAGGAAGACTACTACTAAACGTGCTCTAGAAGTCGTGGTAGGCCGTACAGTTGTGGTCCATAGTGTCTGCATGCTTTGTGTGTTAAAAGGAATAAAGAATCGCCGGAACAAGCTATTCAAACAAGAGATCTGAATACGCATCCTTTCTAATAAGGGAACTGCAGTATTCGATTTCATAAGCAGCATATGCTTTGATGATTGGACAGGCCCTGTCATACGATCTCATGGTGGATACAGAACGTCTAAAACGAATGAACACTATTAAATCCTGAACCCCAAACAGGACAGGTGATGAAGTCAATGACAACACCAGACCCTTAATTTGCAGATCCCACATGGTGTTGTTGGCCGATGAATGTCGGAGTAATTTCGAAGTGTAAATCATAGAGTACAACTTTCTAGTCACAGTTATCAAAAGTGAAATTCATTTTTGCACCAAAGATGTTCAGGAAAGTGCAACAAATGTTACAAGTATCTAAAGTGGTCCTGCAATCTTTTTTTTAAAATTTTGTACACAGAAAATGTGAAATGCGCAATCAATTACGGTTATGTTAGACTTTTGGTTTTTTAGAGTGACAATGCATATTTAAGATTTTGCAAGTAAGGCAGGATTTGCAGACCAATGTGAACGGAGAATTAAACTCTTGAAGGCCCTATATCTCCTGATGTACATAACCAATCGGGTTCAAATCTTGCAAATATCTTGAAAAGGGGGTGCTTTAGAGGAAAATTGACCTTATGTGATGATGGCGTCATGAGGAGACAAGTCACGTGACATTAAAGTTAAACTCTTGAAGGCCCTATATCTCCTGATATACATGACCAATCTGGTTCAAATCTTGCAAATATCTTGAGAAGGGGGTGCTTTAGAGGAATATTGCCCTCATGTGATGATGATGTCATCAGGAGACAAGTCATGTGACATTAAAGGTGCACTTTTTAAGGCCCTACATCTCCTGAAGTACTTGTCCGATTGGGTTCAAACTTTGCATTCATCTTCAAAGGGAGCTTTTCAGACGAAAATGAAGTGATGTGACGATGACGCTTGTATCTTTTGAACTACATGTCTGATTGGGCTAAAATTTGGTAGATAGATTTGGCAAGTGTTATAGACAACATGACATTATGTAAAGGGTTTAATTCTTTGTATCTCCTAATGTCCAAACGGGTGAAATTCAAATGTGGTAGTATCTCAAATAAAGGAATGCCCTTTTCTTAAGAGAAAAAGAAAATGCAAAAAAGCCCTCTGCTCTGTCCTTAAGACAAACAAAATCTCTAGTTTTTTTTTTCAAATGCTTCCTCAAAAATCCCAAAAGAGCCAGCGGTTGTTTTAACCACTTGCTGCTGGGTAGTTTGAAAAATGCAGTGCACACAATCAGAACTTTTTCTAGATTTTCAGTTTTCAAAATTCTTCAAAAATTCATCATTTCAATTAATGGACGTTTACACCCACACGAGTTACTGTCTGGTGGCCATTCTGGTCTGACGGACAAAATCTATTGATACCCGAGTATTTCAGCCAGGCCTACAGCCTTGTAAAAAGAGCCCAGATTGTGCGGTGTTATGTAACTTTCTTTTGTTCACAAACCTGACACAGTGTGCTGCTGACTTCTTTTCAATAGGGGCCAGATTAGTGTGAAGCGGTGCTGTGTGGCTCATTGCTGCAGTGGTGGAGCGCTTTTGTCCCGGGTGGTAATCCGCTCTTGCTAAATCCCCAAACCGTGGTGTACTGTTTCAAAACATGGCTGGATATTCTTCACTATTGAGAGTGACAAAAATGTTGGTAATGCCCAGAAGCCTGGTCTTTTGTTCCGAGAACAGTCTTTTGTTACTAGGCCCAGTTCCCTTTGTTCGATTTCGTAGACCCCGGCCACGCGTATAAACACAAGGTCTTCGAAACCGGGCTCCCAGGCAGGAAGTGGTTAACAACCGTCAAACCTCTAGTTAGCTGTTTTGGCAACAGCCGGAACAGCTCTTGCTTTTCTGATTATTAGCTGTTAGCTCCAACTTTGCCGAAAAAGGGATTGCTTTTCTTATTACCTGTTTCGGCAACTTTGCCGAAACAGATATTGTTTTTCTGATTATTTTTTTTTGTTCTTTTTCAACTCAATTCCTTCCACCAGTCGACTTTGGCAGTTTACTAAATTTGATCGACTTCAAACTTGGCAGACCATTAAACCATCATCCAAGGACGGTCCTAGAAAAAATTCACAGTGATAACTTAAGGAGTTTATTTATTATTGTTTTTTTAAGAATTACTTTTCCCCATAGACTTTGTACACAGATTGCACACAGTTTTTGAACTGTCCTAAATCAGGCTATGGGGGGCGCTATTGCAGAATTACGTTTACACCTGCCTGGGCTTATGAAGTAATATTTCATAAAAATTATTTAGTTTAAGCGCATATCACGTGACATGAACTTAAAGGAGCAGTGTTTCTGCAAACAAGTTTAAAGCCCATTGACTTTGTACACGTTTTTGAGCAACAATTTTTGTAACTTTGCAGTGTTTGATCGTTCCCAAAGTGATAGCCAACAAAGACCCTGATGCAAGA